ACCTGAACCATTAAGATTATTGCCCAACATCTGTCTCTGAAACACACCTCATAACTCAGACCCAATTGGCTTCCTAAGATTAGGGTAAAACTGTAACATTCCAGGTTAGAGCAATGGATTCTAATAGCTAGTGAATATACATATCTCATTTCTGTGATCATCTCAAGGAGTTAGTCCAATTTGTTATATGGAAAGTGATTAATTGTACAGTAATGATACCAATAGCCTTATGCAATCACTTAACAATAGTTATGATACAGAGAAACAGAAACTGTTCATTGATCCCTCAAAGACGAATCTCAAAGCAGTCCAGTTACACAATGGGATTATTTTACCTTCAATCGTAGTTGGTTATGCAATCCAAATGAAAGAATCTCATAATAACAAGAAACAACTACCAAGATGTATCAACTATGATCAACATAACTGGCAACTTTGTGTGGATTTGAAAGTTGTTGCTCTCTTGCTAGGATTGCGAGGTGGATATACCAAGTACCATTGTTTTCTTTGTGAATGGGACTGCCAAGACAGAAGTTCTCATTACATCAAGAGGAACTGGCCACAACGACAATCACTGAAACCTGGGAGGAAAAATGTTCAGAATCCTCCACTAATTGTCACCCCTTGACATCAAGTTTGTGTCTTATGAAAAATTTCATGAATTTTGTGGATAAAACAAAGTCAGTATTCAAGTATGTGCAGAATAGATTTTCCAAGATAAATATATCGACGATAGAGGTAAGCATCTTTTTTGGTTCACAGATTCGTGTTTATTTTGGATGAAAATTTTGAAGTAATATGGGTAAAAAACTGCATGGAAATCTTTCAAGTCTTTGGTAACCAATATTCTGGATAATGCAAGAGTAGAAAATTGCAGAAAACTGGTGCAAGACCTTCTGAAGGCTTACAAACATTTTGGCTGTAACATGTCGTTGAATATCTACCATAATGTCCTTTAAGATTCACTTTCTAGGCTCGCATTTTGATTCTTTTCCCCTAAACTGTGGTACTATGAGTAACGAACACATTGCAGCAATGGAGAAAAGGTATCATATTAGGTAGAGTTCATCAATGCTGGCTGATTATTGTTGGACTGTGACCAGAAATTATTTTTTCTGCAGGATAAACTAAGGACAAACTAAGAAGCGACATGTGGTTACTGAATAATTGCGTATGTTTATACTTCTGAAGAGATTTTTCTCGTTCTATTTTATTCAATAAACATATCTATTGCCATCTTGATGTGTTTGTGTATTACACTGGTAGTCTACATTGAACAGGACATCAAAACAGATTCTGCAAAGCAACATTGTTTTTCTTGGAGACAACCATCGTACTCGTGTGTATGACATAACTGACTAAATATTTCTAAATCGAAGACGAATCCTGTAATGGTCATTTGAAGGTCATTTTCGAATTCAGCATGCCAAAATACGTAAGTATTGACACATTTCATTTCTGAAGTAGTCAACTTGGGAAAAATTGTAGACCAGTTATTTTCCCTATTAGTTTGTATGCCACATTGTCCTATTATTGCTTTTGCGATAATCGCTGATATTATGTATTGTACTAGTCCTGGGTTTATTGTCATGTATTGTGAGATAAGTGCACTCAATGGATTTTCTTCTGGTTGAATCCTTTTCTCTTCTGATCAGAATTTTTTTTAATCATTTCACCCCAAGCAAGGCGGAAATGCCACTAGTAAGCAGGGAGTTACATAGAGTGAAAGCGAGAGAAAAAAACTGGGTAGAGTGGGAGTGAGGGAAGGATAAACATGAACGATGTTCAAGACGACGGAAGATAGCGATTGAAGGTCCATTTAAACTTTTGAAGATTGTAGTTTTCAGGGAAGCAAGTAAACGGAAGGGAGTTCCACTATCGGGAAGTGCGAGAAAAGAAACTGTTGGAGTAGAAGTGGCAGTTACATTTAGCTTTTTCAAAAGTAAAAGGGTGAGGCTTAAATGCCAATCTAGTAGCACGCTTAGATTCATGTAGTCGGGACACGAAGGAAAAAAGCTCGTCACAACACTTATTAGCATTTATTAAGTTGTAATTATGGTCAGATATATTATGAATATTCTGTGCGTTTAACGTGTTGTTATGCAGCATATTCCTGCGATGGTCATATAGTCTTTCTTTAGATTTCTGGATGTTTTGTCGATGTACACCACTAGGCATCTTGTATAATCTATTATATATATATATATATATATATATATATATATATATATATATATATATATATATACACCCTACACGTACGCACTATTTTGTATATACATATGTACCCTACATACAGTTGCATGCACACGCGCACACATACACTATTAAAGAATGTGCACCAATGATGAGTGCATATAAAAAAATCATGAAATACAAGTAGCCAATTGTTAATATCCCCTGACGAGTAGACGGACGGGTCCGCCTACAAAACTCTGGAGCTAAGATCCTGAAGATAACATCAATCATCTAAGTGACAAACCATTTATTTATATGATATATATATATATATATATATATATATATATATATATAATTATTTATTCGAAAATTGTAACATAAATATGTTATAACTCACTACAAAAATAAGAATAGTATTTATTGGATATATATATATATATATATATATATATATATATATATATATATATATATATATCATATATATCGAATAATACATATATATATATGTGTGTGTGTGTGTGTGTGTGTGTGTGTGTGTGTGTGTGTGTGTGTGTGTGTGTATGTATTCGATATATATGTTTGATGTGTACAAAAATACCAATCTCCCACCTTTTGAAAACTAGAAGCCGAAGATCTTGAAGGTAACCTCAATCAGCTAAGTGACAAACCATTTACTTATATGAATTATATACATATACAAAACTATTCGTGAATATGAAAGGATTATATTAAAAATAAGCAGAAAATGTTTGTAATTTATTCAATCATCAATGCCTCAACATAATATATATATATCATATATATATATATATATATATATATATATATATATATATATATATATTCGATATGTGCAAAATACCATCTTCTACTCTTTTGGGAAAACTACTTGGGTTTTATATTTTCTGAAATTTGTCTAAACTGGCATGCGAAACTTAAAAATTAAACAAAACTCCTCATGTTCACTTTGAGTTTTACGTCCTCTTCCTCATGCACACCCATTAATCTCGATCCAAAACCCCACCCCTACTTTCTAATTGCTCGAAACCCTGAAATAAGGGCGATGTACACTTGAAGATATTGTCAATACTCGACACAATTATCAATATCCCCTAATAAACAAAATGACATAATAAAATACAATCTTCATATATTTAGAAATAATTATAAATTCATATATTAATATAAATTCATCAGGTTTCTTTAATATTTACAAATACGCACAACCACAATTTCCGGGTATATTCGTCTGCCAGAGTGGCTAGATAATCCTTGTTGCAGACGCCTGCTCGGTCACATCTGTATTTTTTCAATACCCACAAAGCCAATCTGTAGTTCATGATACAACTATGTTGAACATACATTAGAAACAGTTTCTGAGAGAGAGAGAGAGAGAGAGAGAGCGAGATCATAATTTGGCACGATCAGTATTTAAACAAGTCCAGTATATTCAAACCCTCGTTCACGATGACTTATGATTTTGTGCTAGCACAGCTATCGACAAGTCATTAGAGCTTGTCGCCTATATAATTTCATTTACAAAGTCTGTATCAGCCTGTAGTATGATTGTCGGGCACTTCCAAACGTTGCCGTCTTTTGGGATTGTCTACCAGGTCGATATTCTCAAGATGAATAGACTATAGTGATATTCGAAACTGGGCCTCGTGGTAGGAACACTAATATCTTAGCAGCGCGACCACGCGACTGTAAGTATTATATACAAGGACACGTTTGACTCTTTACCTATATGTATTAATGCACATATATTTTATCATACATGTATTTTTAAACATGTATATATGTATGTATGTACATATGCATGTATATATATATATATATATATATATATATATATATATATATATATATATATATATATATATCCATGAATAAGCATAATAAACTGTTTTGTTAAAAAAATTACCAATGTAAACAAAAAGACATATAAACAAACGCATAAACGTATACGAATATGCATAGACATTCATCAGTAGACGTGTAAACAATACATACAATCAAATGCACATATTTATACACACACTGAAGCATGCATTCTCAACATACACATACGCACACCACAAAACTTCCGGTCCCCGTCACAAACACAATTTTCTCCCATTTAAACAATAAAGATCCCTATCAAAAAATCCAACATGGCCGTCCCCCATTAGCAAGCAAGATGGCGGCCGCCCTTGCTCTTTAATAGAGAAAAGATGGCAGCAATAACACTTAATAAGGGTCAAAATGGCGGGCCTATCCCCTTTATTAGGGAACGAGATTGTAGAAGTGAGCTTCCGTTGTTTAGGGGTCAAGATGGTGGTTCGCAGAGGTATCGTTTGAACACGGAGAAGAAGGGAAAAAACAGTGGTAAGGGGGTTAAAACGATGACGGTGTACGATTGTCAGCGGTTTTGGCGACGCAACGCGGAAAAAGGGGGGTAGCAGCGTAGAAACAGAGGAAGACAGATAGGAAGATTTAGAGAGAAAAAAAGCTGTGGATCGATATTCAAGGTCTAAGATTGTAGTGTGTGTGTCAGGGGACAAGATGCCGGATCTTTATCTGAGTGGTATGGTGGGAAAGGGAAGGAAAAGAGTTTCGGATTTATGGAGGAGGATAAGGAAGCGGGGAGGGGAAGGAAAAATATTTCGGATTGTCATTAGAGACTGAAATTTCGGCGTCATGCGGTTAGGGGCTGAAAGATGGCGACTTGTGTTTGTGTTAGGGGCCCTGACATGACGGGCTCTTAGCGTTGAGGGTAAGATAGCAGTGTGTTGTGGTTAAAGAGTCTGAAGGCGGAGTAAAAGAAAAAAAGAAAATTATGAAAGGGCGGGGTAGGTTAGGACAGAAAGAGAAGGATGGAGAATCAGTGGAGGGGAGGAACTGATCAGAGAAAGCGATGGGTAGTGGAGATTGAGGTCAGGGGACACTGAGTTAAGGCATCGGCGAAGAGAGGGCGAAGGGTGGGCGTAAGGGGATGGGTGGTAAGAAAAGGAGTTAAGAATACGGAGTAAAAGAGATTTGGAGTATGCGGGATAAAGGGTTAGATTGAGTAAGAGATTGCTTGAAGGAAAAGAGGGAATAATAGGGGAAAGGAGAATTGAAGCGTAATAATGGATTAAATAAAACAGAGCATCGTGGTAATAGATAGATAGATAGATAGATAGATAGATAGATAGATAGATAGATAGATAGATAGATAGATAGATGTAAACAGGCTCAAATAGATAGATAGATAGATAGATAGATAGATAGATAGATAGATAGATAGATATGAACAGAATGAGATAGATAGATAGATAGATAGATAGATAGATAGATAGATAGATAGATGAGAAAATGGGCAAAATGGGATAGATAGATAGATAGATAGATAGATAGATAGATAGATAGATATGAACACAATGAGATAGATAGATAGATAGATAGATAGATAGATAGATAGATAGATAGATAGATGTGAGCAAAATGGGATAGATAGATAGATAGATAGATAGATAGATAGATAGATAGATAGATAGATAGATAGATATGAACAGAATGAAAGATAGATAGATAGATAGATAGATAGATAGATAGATAGATAGATAGATAGATAGATAGAAATTAACATACCCTGATGAGAAAGGATATAAAAATGGAAGGTATGTAATGAATAATAAGGTACATTGGGTATCCAATGAAGTGAAGTAAAAGACTCATTACTTTCATTCCATTTGTTTTCCTTTTCTTTTTACGAACGTTTTCCAAACATTACGGATATCATTATCAAGAGAGTGGATGCACTGTGTAGTTTGTTGAATATATTTTCTTTTACTTGCAATCGAGTTGCTCATGTTTATCAATCGGTTATTAGATCATTCGAAGTATAGCATCCCAGTTCTATTCTTACAAACGCATAGGACGTACACACACACACACACACACACACACACACACAAACACACGCGCACACAAACACACGCGCACGCATGCACGCACCCATTCACATATACAAATATGTATATTAATTACAAAATAAAAAACATTCCATATGTATCATTTTTTATCAAATTTTTATTAATGAAAACTTCTGCTTAATACAATATGTATATATGTGTGTGTGTGTGTAAATATCATTGCCATAATTTCTAAATTCTCATTAACATTTATTTGATGCTTTAAAAGCTGTATATATGTAGATAATAAACTGTATATTCTGGTAATAACCCATCGTTTAAACATGTTTGATTATATTGAACGGACAAGGAATGTCGGTTCAGACTTTTTACAACCAACATATTTGACATCAGAGAAAAAACGCGAAAAGATTTAAAAGACATTTCCTGTCCAATCCGAAAAACACACACATATAATATATATATATATATATATATATATATATATATATATATATATACAAAGAGAGAGAGAGAGAGAGAGGCGTTGAGCACTTTCAAATTCTGATTAGGTAAATGCTTGCCTTTTGTTTTGGGGGCTTTTAACAGATAGTCTGTTGGTTGCACCAACATTTTATATATATATATATATATGTATATATATATATATATATAGAAAGAGAGAGATTTTATTATATATATATATATATATATATATATATATTATATAGATTTATATATATATATAATATTATATATATATTATATATTATTATATATATATATTAAATATATATATATATATATATATTATTATCTATATATAGATATATATATAGATTTTTTTATATATATATATATATATATATATATATATATATATATATACATTGATAGATAGATGTTTTTTTTGAATGTGTAGATCTGATGAGTTGTATCGTGATTACGACTCCAATGTAATAAATTATAACTAATGAATATTACTGTTTGAGCCTTTTTATATTATATATATATATATATATATATATATATATATATATATATATATATATATATATATATGCATGTATATGACCAAAGACATACATTGCTGCACTTACGGAAATATTTCCACACGCTCGCTTACAGACATGAGCCTGTTACTCTCGCACTTACGAACGAACACACGCATATATATATATATATATATATATATATATATATATATATATATATATATATATATATTATAAAGATGTTACATACAGACAAACATACGTTACGTATGTAACATCTTTTATCATAAATAACTATTGCTCTACTCTTGATATTGAGCCTCTTTTAAACTAATGCTATGAACGCTTGAATTTATATTCTTTTCGTTTTCGTTACATTTATATATATATATATATATATATATATATATATATATATATATATATATATATATTGCCTACAATTGTTACTTGGCAGGCAAACCTGTATGGCAGAATAATTTCGAATTGTGTGGTCGCTTCCCAAGGATACCGTAGCACCATAATCTTGTAACAGTCTAAAGAGGTGCCCCTGAATCAACTTTTTTTAATGATCGATTTTATCAACAAAATCGTTCTTTTTTTGTTTTTTAATAGGACCATTTTAATTATAGTATAAGTCAATGTGTTGAAATAGCAAACATTGGCCTTAGAATATGTTATAATACCAATTTTATATGGCCTCAAAACAGTTGGTCAAATTTCAAATACGAATCTCGAATCTATTGTTTGCTGATTGGGAAGAGTCGTCTATATCTGTTCAAGCTTCGGGGCTCTAAGAATGTAGTTCCGTTACTGGTGGTATGCTGTATTATATACGAGTGTTTGGATTCAGAGTTTTCCTTCGCCTAGGTGGGTTGCCCTATCGAAACCAAAGAGCCCAGCGTAACATTTTTTTTATGAGAGTTTATTTAGAGTGCGTCTTGCTATTTAATATATATCTAGAGAAAAATTCATGCCTTTCCTAATAGTACAAAATGGACAGTTGGACATCAACACGACGACGATTAAACTTTCAGCGCTCGTAACTGTTATGCTACTTGCGCATCAAATATAGTGGATATATATATTATTATGATATATATATATATATATATATGATGTTATAATATCTGATATTATGATAATATGTAATATTATGATAATATATGATATTATGATAATATATGATATTATGATAATATATATTATGATATATATATGATATTATGATATATATATGATGTTATGATAATATATGTTATGATAATATATATATATATGATATTATGATAATATATGATATTATGATAATATATCATGATAATATATGATATTATGATAATATATGATATTATGATATATATATATGATATTAGGATAATACATAATAGGATATATATATGATATGATAATATATGATATTATGATAATATATAATATTGTGATAATATATATTATGATAATCTGTGATATTATGGCAATATATGATATTATGATAATATATGATAATATGACAATATACGATATTATGATAATATATGATATCATGATATATATAGGATATTATGATAATATGCATAAAATACGTTCAATATTCATAAATTTATTCAGATACACATTATGTCCGTATAGATGTCTGCATACATCCCGCACACACATACATATGTGTGTGAGTGATCAATAAATTAAAAAAAGTTCAAGTGATTAATTGACTCAGGAGTCTGATTAGTTGACTCAAGAGTTTCACATCAAACGCTCACCAGATAAAACCTTTATCAAACATCTGGCCCTGGTGAGCGTCTTCTATGTAATCGCGTAACCAGATAAGACACTTGAACTTCTCTCAATATATCAAATATTATAGCTCGGGCAATCTACTGAGCGCATTTTGACAGAAATTCTCCTAACCTGAGAAGAAAACACGCAGAATTCTCGTAAATTTGACGTATTTTCTCTGTTGCATATATATATATATATATATATATATATATATATATATATATATATATATATATATATATATATATATATATATATATATATATATATATATATATATATATATATATATATATATATATATATATATATATATATTTTTATATATATATATATATATATATATATATATATATATGTATGTATGTATGTATATATGTATATAGATAGATAGATAGATAGATAGATAGATAGATAGATAGATAGATAGATAGATAGATAGAAATTGTGTGTATAGAATTTTTTGAGAGGAGTAGAAAAACTGACAGCTGTATAAAAAAATGTAATCATTTATCAATTTTTATATATATATATATATATATATATATATATATATATATATATATATGAATATAGCTAAAAACACGCATATACCTCTATCTAAAGATAAAGCGTGCATATATATATATATATATATGTGTGTGTGTGTGTGTGTGTGTGTGTGTGTGTGTGTGTGTGTGTGTGTGTGGGTGGGTGTCTATGTCGTCGCACTAAATACACACAGACACACACAACTTCTCTTTTTCTTCTCGGGCATTTTTTGCTTATTTTACTTTTGTTTGCGTGCATGTTTGTTTGGGTTTTTTTTTTTTTGTTTGGTTTTTTTTTTACTTGCTAACATTTTTAAAGATCAATGATCTGTCTCTGAACCATCGTCTATTCTTTAAATTATTACTCCAGGAACCCCACCTCGTCCTCTTTCAGGATCCACCTTAAAGATTTCACTTTTAATCATCTGTACTTGTATTTTTTCTTGTTTTTGTAGGATTTTCTTCCTTCCTTTCTTTCTTTACAGCTTTTTCTTGTTTTACAGCTCTCGCTATTTTTATGTCAGCTCCTTACCATTCTACAATCAACAATAATACCCAAGTGACAAAGATTAAGATAAGTAATACATAAAAATGAAAGAAAATAAGAAAGTGCAAACCTTAAATGAATGAATAAATGAAAGAGAGAGAGAGAAATGAATTCAATAGACATAGAAGACGAAAGCATATGAAGGTTAGTATAAATTACCAAAGACTTTTGGGCAGAATGATTATTATAGAGAAAAGAAAGAAAGAAAGAAAGAAAGAAAGAAAGAAAGAAAGATATTCAAGTGATACATAAGACTATAACATGAAAGTTAGTATGAATTACCAAAGACTTTTTGGGCAGAATGATTATTATAGAGAAAAGAAAGAAAGAAAGAAAGAAAGAAAGAAAGAAAGAAAGAAAGAAAGAAAGAAAGAAAGAAAGAAAGAAAGAAAGGAAAGTAAGGAAAGAAAGAATGGCAAGAAATAAGTAAAGTGAGGAAACGAAAAGAATAGGCGTCATAAGTTTCAGCTGAGGGATAGCAAATAGGAGCCAAAGATAGGAAATTTTAAGGAGTTTAGATAAAGAATTGTAGTTCCGGAAGTGTGTAAAGCAAGACGGCGACTTACCTTTTCATAACCAAGTCCTGTTCCGGAAGTTAAGGGAAGAAGAAAAAATGGCGGAAATGATCGGCTGCTTTTGTGTGCAAGAATACAAGATTTTTTTCCCCTTTGTCTTCTTTCTAACTCCCTCTGTTTCCTCCACGTTCAATCACTCACATTTTCACTTTCTCTTTTTCTTTCATATCACTCTTGGACATTTTCCTTTTTATTGGTTTTATGTACATCGTCTTCAGCTATATTTTATTCTTTATTGCATTCTCTGTTTCTCTCTCTTTATATTTCTTTCATTCTAAACCAGTATCTTACTTGTGTGTATGTGTATTTGAGTATACGCATTTAGGTGAAGGAATGACTGATGAAACAATGTACATACACTTATTCAGGTATACATGTATATATGTGCGCTTGTGTACTTTGAGTGTAGTTTTAAAACTTCCTCCCGAATCAAAGAAGGACAAAAAGAAAAAGAAAAAAAAGAACATAAATAATACAAGGAAGATTAAAACACAATAAAGTAACCGAACGGCTAGCTTTGTTTCCTTAGGTCACGTGTATGCTTCACTTCCGGAAGAGGTTCACATTAAAAGAAGAAGAAACTGAGGCAGAGAAGGAACAGAGAAAGAAAACGATCGAGTTAGTTAAGAATGCCGAAAAAATGTCATTGTGATGCCATGAAGAAAATTTGGCCATTATATGAAAACAGCGAAAGTTCCTTTTCTCTCCCTGTAGAGTTTAATCGAAAATATTTATGGGGTAATGAAATGTATAGGTGGAGGGAATAAGAATGAAAGGATATAAAAGAAAGGCTAGAAGAAAAACCTAAACATGCGATATAAAAAATGTTTAAGGATATAATATGATTTGTATAGAGGAGTATATTGAATTATCACGCACAAGATCAGTTAGGTTAAACTCTTAGATAACGTGCAGATATCAACACACCCACACATATATGTGCGTGTGTGATCACTTTCATTAAAGCTTCATCAGAGAATGAGATATGGAGAAAAAGAAGAAAGAAATTTTGGTATTTTAACTTGTGTTGTTTGATTTTCATTAGTAAATCATGTTTCGTTTTAATAATTCGTAACGCCACAAATTATACTAACGTTGGATTGAAAAGTCGAAGCACAAATGTAAAATATCATAATTTCTTTCTTTTTTTTTCTCCATATCTCATTCTCTAATGAAGCTTTAATAAAAGTGAAATATGTTAGATTGATAAACGTTTCCTATTTGTTTTCCTCGGATATATTTGTTCTTTATTTGCTCGGATATATGCATGAAATATATATATATATATATATAAAATATATATATATATATATATATATATATATATATATAAAGGCTGAAACACTAATATTCTATGGTTATAATTTATTACATTGGAATCGTAATCACGATCCAATTCATCAAACCTTTCGATTTTCATATATATATATATATATATATATATATATATATATATATATATATATTGACCATAATATTATTAATTTATATATATATATATATATATATATATATATATAGTTGGCCTTCAAGACAGGACATCCAATGTAGACCTGCTTAACAGGTGTAATATTAGAAGAATCGAAACTTTCCTCATCCACTCTCAGTTCCAGTGGACTGGTCATGTCTTCAGAATGTCTGATGACAAGATACCCAAGATCCCAATTTACAGCCAGTTAGATCAGGGCTTCTGGAATGTAGGACTCCCATTGCTTAGATACAAAGCCAAACTGAAGAGCAACTTGTCAGCTGTCAATATACATCATAACACCCTCGAGCGCTTAGCCTTGGAGCGGGTAGTTTGGAGATCAACGTGTTTTAGTGGACTCAGCGATTTTCAATCTGCTAGTCTGAATCATCTTTAAGAAACGAGAGCAAGATCTAAAAGGTGAGCCAATCTAACAGTGATCTCATCATACAATTCTCACTCTTGCTCCATATGCGGCCTCCTTTGCTGGTCTTAAAATTATCGCTTATCACTTAAGATTATCGCATAAAATTCATAACTCAATCAATTGGTTAATTTGTCGGATCCTTATACGTCGAAACCGACGGGAGAGACCATTATACACACACACACACACACACACACACACACACACACACACACATATATATATATATATATATATATATATATATATAGAGAGAGAGAGAGAGAGAGAGAGAGAGACAGACAGACAGACAGACAGACAGAGAGAGACAGAGACAGAGAGACAGAGAAAGGATTAATAAAAGTAAAAGTTTGTCACTTGGCTGATTGATGACAGTTTTAGCATCCCGGTCTTTTTTTTTCTTTGGTTGACCTTTCCATCCACTCTCCAGTGTGTATCGTATCAGCAATTTATATATATATATATATATATATATATATATATATATATATATGTGTGTGTGTGTGTGTGTGTGTGTGTGTGTGTGTGTGTGTGTGTGTGTGGCAATCGGAATACATTCAGATAAATTTGTATATAAATACACGCACAAGCATTTTTCACCAAAGGCTCAAAAGACATAAAGGGACAAAAGTAAACAGGAGTTCGATTTCTGCCGGAGTGTAGCACATTTTCTTCATGAAGATTTTGTCGGATACGCTGGGCGATAGACGCAAGAAACACCGTTTAAAGTAAAAATAGGGCGTCTATTTCAAATACGAGCATCTACTGTAATAACTTCTGAAGTGAAAAAAAATATCGTGTGTGTGTGTGTGTGTGTGTGTGTGTGTGTGTGTGTGTGTGTGTGTGTGTGTGTGCTTCATTAAAGACTAATTAAGATTTTTGTTAAGAATATTGTGTTTATGCTTTCCATATTTCTTATTTTCTGGTTTCCGGCAAAAGTCTTAATATAAATTATCCAATGTCTTTTGACTACATTCGGCGTTTATAAGCCATTATCAAAAAGGTTTAGATTTTTGTGCGATGTCGGTTTCGTCGCTTTTTAAATATCGCGTCATTATCTTTTTTTTTTAAGCATCGCGTCTTTCCCAGAAAACCAGAAGAATAATCAGAAGTATAGACAAAAAAAAATTATTAACAATATACTTTCGTTGGCTTTTAGCGAAACTTGTGTAATGAAAATTTATACTGTTTCAGCGACCGATGAACTGCCGTCATAAGGAAAATTATTTTATATCAAAAGAACAAAATCCACATTAGCGAGACAAAAAACATGATCCACATTAGGCAACCGAAGGTTTGATTTTCACTTCAACTCTGTCATTACTGAAATAAAATTTGAACCACTTTCAATTACGTTTTATTTTTATTATTTTATTTAACATTTACGTATCTCACATTTTTTTTTTCATTTTTTTTTTTTTACTAAGTATCTATTTTTCAGTACTCTCACGTCACAAACCGAATGTGACACAAGATCGATGTAAAAAAAAAAAAAAGGTTTGACGGCAATATCATAGTAAAATTACTCAAACCCTCTCGGCACTTCCCCTTTTGATGATGTCACCCTCCCGATACTGCTTAAGGAGACACCCTGGGGCTTGGGCTTAATACTTTTTATACCTCCTCGGCTTGTACCAGGTAAATATTTAGTAAGTAGAGGTGATAAATTGGAATAACACAGTTGTATACTAAACGAACTGATTTCATAAATTATAGAACTTTTAATTTATCTTCCTCTTTGGAAATTTTTTATCATTATTATTATGAGACGAGCATATTCCTCATCGAAAATCTTAAATAATGAATCGATATGTGATACATAAACCTTAAAAGTATGTAAATGAACAATAAATAACGTCTCCTATTTATTTCCACATCAACTACAGCAGATAGAGGGAGCTCAATAACACTACTGGATAGAGCAAGTTTTTAGACATAATCATCATTTTTTTCGTACACAATTTCACCAGCAGTGAATAAAACATTTTCATTTTTGTATGTTGCGGTCTGCCTAAGATGTGTCTTGTCACACACATAGATGTCGCCGATGCTGAAAATCATTACACATTATTTAGCTGCACCCCTACAACTGTTTAATTTTTACGAACGTCCAACAAGCATCGGCGAATATCAATGGTTACAATGTTATTCACATAAAGGAATTTAATAACAGACAATGTTTTTGTGTGGAATTTCATACTAGACACCATTTTACTTTTGTGATGTCAACGAATTTTACTTTTGTGATGTCAACGAATACTCGTTGTCACTTTCTTAAGCTGTAGTAGAGTCTTTGCAATCGCAGATACAACTATAGTAACGCCGCTGAAGAGTGCAAATTTTTCTTTAATAAAATTTTTTGAACATTCAGGCCAATAGACGAAAATAAAAATAATATGCTGTTTTATATATAAACGGAGGAGCGTATACTCAAATACGAGTATCCACTATAAATAACTTTTATAGTGATAAAAATCTACTTACATTATTCGGACTATTGTCCTCATTTTTGTTGCCATATTTATTACAACGTTTTTGCCGTTGTACGCTCCGGCCTTCTTCAGGTGGTTGGAATGTTGAACTGAACCCTTTATTTCGCTCACTGGGGTAGACTGTTCTAGTTCCATGTGCTATATCTAATGGATGTCAGTTGTCAGTTATCTCCTGTTAATTCCCCTCTCCAAGTTCTTCACCGCTTTAACCAGGTATTGAACTCACACTCTTTGGGTCCTGTCACAGGATCTAACTAATGCCTTTATCGATAAAGACATGGCACGAGGAACTAGAACAGTCTACCCCATCGAGCAAAATAAAGGGTTCAGTTCGACATTCCAACCACCTGAAGAAGGCCGGAGCGTACAACAGCCGAAACATTGTGATAAATATGGCAACAAAGATGAGGGCAACAATGTAAATAGTGAACATAACGCTTCGTCTCAGAAATATAGACAGATAGATACTTAAAAAAATTCTGTTGGATTAATAAAAATCTATTATTTTCTTTAGAAAAATAGCCTATATATATATATATATATATATATATATATATATATATATATATATATATATATGTTTGTGTGTGTGTGTGTGTGTGCGACGAAGTGTGATTGACGTGTCCAAATTCCAAACGAGATCGATTGGTTGCTACACACAAATACCCTTTAAAAAGTAAGAATCTGTCTCTTTCCCACACCCTAGCTCTGGGATAAATAGCAGGGAAGACTGGAATCTCTGTCATTGGTTAGCAATCAAGCGTAGGAGAAGGACGACTCTGAATTCAAAACCTGTTGGGTGTGGAACTAAGAATTCTTCCCTGCAAAAACCTACTTGCTACAAAAAACCAAAGCAACAACACCTAATGTAGTAATAATGTCCTCCTGTACTCCACAGCGGAGTCTACGGAGTTAACTTAGCTAGTAACTTACTCTCCCCAGTAAAAACCTACTTGCTACAGATATCACAGCAGTAATACTTAGTGTGGCGAGGGGGGGGGGCACAAATTAAATTATAACTTACTCTTCCCTGTAAAACCCTGCCTGCGACAGAAACCGCGTTAACAACACCTTAGGTACTGAGACTGTGGCACTACATGCTTAGAAACAACTATAAAAACCTGCAAAGCCGTATATATAGATAATATGAATCTATGTATTCATTAATATACATGTATCATATCATACTTATTATAAAATCCAGGTTGTATGTGTGTGTGTGTGTGTGTACGTTTATATATTGGATCGAATTTCCTACATTTTTCAACCGATTTCAACAAAACTTCACAGGACTACGTAAAATTACCTTGCGGTGGTTCTGACAGCGCCAAAAATGGGAACAACACAATTGTTTTTACACGAAATCAATTTGAAAACACGATTAAGAGACATCGCTGACGCGAGAATGAAAGGGGGACAACTCATATTGAGTTATACTTATTATAAAACCCAGGTTGTTTGTATGTGTGTGTGTTCGTTTATATATGGGATCGGATTTCCTACATTTTTCAACCGATTTCAACAAAACTTCACTTTTTTTTTGGCAGGTAGTGTTTCTTATTGTCTTGCACACTTTTTTCTTTGTTTTTACATTCAGAATGCTTTGAAAATTCCATTTACAAGACAATTGTTTATAATAAAATTCTATTCAATCGGTAGACTCATAACGATTGAAAACAATGTTTATGTTTGAGTTTGGGTTTGGCCAATTCGTAAAAAAAAACAAAAAAACAAAAAAAAAACAAAACAAAAACAAAACAAAAAAAAAACTTGATCTATCTCTTACTGTTACATCCCCGGGCAACGCCGGGCTCTACTGCTAGTATTCTTATATTTGAATATATTTCCGAACATAGATATTGTGTAAGAATTCATATAAAACCCGTTTATTCTATTCTTAGTAGATGTATATCACCGTACGAGAAGCAAATTTTATGCATACATTTGTTTCCAGTATTCATTTACTTATAGCAGTTAAACATGTCATAGTTCAATCCTTGGAGCAGACAATAAAGCACTAGTTGAGAAGTAACGAACAATAATGGGCAAATAGCACAATAATCAACAGCTAAAGAATGGATTCCTGATGATGACTGGAACGTACTTGGCCGTAATGTTGTGTCTATAATAACAACTGTAGCAACCAAGTTGGGGACAATAGTTCGCAATAATTGTGTTATCTATTTACTAATGTATTCTTATTCATTTTCATATCCGTACTTTTTTAAACAGATCGCCTTAAATTTCCTATAGTAATAATTCATATACATTCATTGCTTCAATTCAAGAAAGCCTGTGTTAAGGCTACATTTTAATAGTAACAACGTTTATATTTCTATAGAAACAATTTATATACTTCTGTAGCAAAAATTTATAAATATATATTTAGTGCTTGAGTTCAAGAAAAACCGTGTGATGGCTAAACTTTAGTTTAGGCGGAGACGTTAGAATTATAAAATTAAAGAAGACTTTAGAAGGAACCGGAAACCCAATCCTAAATAAGAAAACAGGGATAACCCTCTACTCCTGTTCACAAGACCAGGGATAAGGATTTACTTTTAAAATCTGTAATGTCAAACTATTGTAGATATATAGAAACAAAGACAAAAACAAATTCTAACATAGTAATTATATCTATGTATGCAACTGAGCCATAGGAAGTTTAAGGTGTTGCTTTTCAAGATCAGTATATACTTTACCAAGAAATATCAGATTAATACAAGAAATGAAACTTACACCAAGTCAAGAAATGAAAAAATCTGTGCTGTCAACAACCAAGACTTTTACGGTGCCATAGTAACAAACTAGTAAATCAATAGATAGATATAATCTTAGACATGTCCACAAACTGTTGAATACAGAAAATGAATTATATAAACGTAAATCAATTATTTAGCATTCATACAAACGATTCATCAGAGACTTTTTAAAATATAAATGATGAAATTGATAGTGAAAACATGTTTATTGATAATCAATAACTGATTAACGAGCAAGAAGAGGGATTGATTAGCAAAATCAATAATTTCATATTTGGGGAAGCATGTTTTACAATAACGGAAAGAGACAGTGAGGCAGTACGCATATGTAATTATTAGTCGTATTAGCTGAATCTTAATCTGATATTTTTAACGTATAATGCAATTAATATTAACTACTGAATTAAATATATTAACAAGGTTGCCGATTATGTTGAAATATTTGTTTTGTAAATACTTTTTTCATCATGTGACGAAACGAGATAGAAACAGACTGAGATAGATAGATAGATAGATAGATAGATAGATAGATAGTGTAATTCGTCATTGTTATATATATATATATATATATATATATATATATATATATATATGATGGCTGTTGACTCGTTAAATTAGTATGACCATCTACCCAGGTTTGGGTATACTGAGTTTTCATTCTGTTTGACCGGTTGCCTACCACATCCGAATAGTACAGTTTATCCTACTATTCAAACCATAGCCGAGGAAAGAAGAGATAGATTCACACTATTCCCAAACGTATGTGCGAAAGTGAATGCAATGATCAGTTGAAATTCGAACTATTAACCATTGCACCATCCGCACATCCTTCTTAATAGGAATAAAGATGTCAGCAATGTACCTGCTGAGATTATAGAAGAGAACGGATTGCACAAAAACCGCAAAGACACACATTAACAATCTTGGGAATCCCGGGGACACGCAAAGGCGAGATATCTGGATTAGCTTTCCTTCTCCTAGGTGTATAACCTTATTGATGGCTCAGCGTCTTTGACTACCATGAAATAATAGCTGGCCATTCGTATTCAACGGCCCCTTCCCGACAAATCAATCGTCGTGAGATGCGAACATTCTAACCACCCGGCCTCGTACCCATACAATATATATATATATATATATATATATATATATATATATATATATATATATATATATATATATATATATATATATATAATAGCTGGCCACTCGTATTCGTGTATACCTGTCTACTAGGGCGGTTAGCCAATCGCTATTACAGACGTTCACTCAGGGACATTTCGGTTTGCTCACCACCCAGAGAGCCAACCTATTGGTTTTTTACTGCAATTATGCTGAGCAGACCATAGTTACAGTTTCTAGGAAAGAGGGTGTTATCTAGCGTGATCAATAATTTGAATACGGCTAGGCCACGATGACTTGTGACTTCGTGCTAGCACAGCTCTCGACGGAACCCAAGGGTTCTGTTTGCCCAATTTCACTCACCAGGCTTGGGTCAAGCCGTGGTATGGTTTTTCAGGCACTTTCCAAACGTACCGCACGCTGGGATCGTGCCCCTCCAGACCGATAACATCAAAAAGTCTCCTTCCTGACAAATCAACCGAGCTGAGACTCGAACCCGGGCCTCATGGTCAGAATGCGAACGTTCTGACCATGAAATACACACATACATACATACATGCATACATACATACATGCATACACATGTACATGCATACATGCGTGCATACATCCATACATACATACATATATGCAAACATACATACATGCATACATACATACATGCATACATACATACACACATGCATACATACATGCATACATACATGCATACATACATGCGTGCATACATACATGCATACATGCATACACACATACATACATACATACATACACACACGCATACATACATACATGCATACATACACACACATACATGCATACATACATACATGCATACATACATACATGCGTACACACATACATGCATGTATACATACATACATGCATGCATACATAAATACATGCATACATATATACATGCATACATGCATGCATACATACATACATATATGCATACATACATGCATACATACATAGACACATGCATACAAACATGCATGCATACATACATACATACATGCTTACATACATACATACACACATACATGCATACTTACATGCATACATGCATACATACATAACTACATGCATGCATACATAAATACATGCATACATACATGAATACACACATACATGCATGTATGCATACATACATGCATACATACATTATGGCCGAGCACATTCATTTGCTAATGAGACTAATCAATCCCTGCTGCAAATACATGCTGAAGCATATTTGTGTGTTTGTTCAATACCCAGAGAGCTCACCTGAGTTTTTGATACTTCAACTATGCTGAGCAGACCTTAGTTACAGTTTCTGAATGATCATCAATTTGTACAACGCCAATATGTTCAAACCCTCAATAACGATTAATTGCGACATGTTGCTTGGTACAGCTATCGACGGTTTCTAAACTTTTTGACAAATCGACGATGGTGAGACTTGAACCTGGGCATCATTACGCCCCCATACACATATATACATACATAGATGCTAGAGATTATGAGAAGTTCTCGGAGCGACTCACTTCTCGAAACTGATCGAATGATAAAAGATTAGATTTTTACTTCTTCCCGGTCTTTTGAATTTGAGTTGAAGTTTATCCCCTGTTTACTGATTAGGATTGGGTTTCTGATTCCTTCTAAAGTTTTTTCTTTCACTTTCAGTTGCTCTTAGGTATATCAACGGTTTGCTTTGGGTGAGTTTCTGAAAAAAGCCCCTTCTTGAAAGGACCGAGGACTTTTCAACTTAACGTAAAAAAAGAGGCTGCAAAGATATTGAGACGATAAGTACTAATTTAAACTTGTAGCTATTTTTAAAAAATAACTGTCTTACCTGAAGTTTTCTTTTTTGCAAAGAATTTTCCTTATTTTTATCACTGCCTCCTAAAAAATATTTGCAATTTTGTCAATAATATCATCCTCATACTGATATAGAAAACCCTGCAAATAATAAGAATAACTCATTTTCTTTAGAAAATTATACTTTTAAATAATTAACCCTTTAATAAGCATTTATGGAGTAATGGATAGCGGCTCGGGTTGAGGATTCGGAGAGCCGAGTTCGAATTCCAGTCGAATCCATTACATTCACTTACGTGCTAATACTCTTGGGAAAGGTATGAATCCTCTTCTTCTCTCCCCAATTATAAATAAATAAATATAAACCGTAAATAGCGGGATAGATAGATTTCTATAGCCTTGGATGGCAAATGGTCTACCGCAGAAAAAAATGGCAACCTACTGCGGGAAAAATCTGCATCGTCAATAATGTATCGAAAGATACATGATCGCCTAAGTGTGTATCACGTATGGCACATAACTGACTGATATATATATATATATATATATATATATATATATATATATATATATATTTATCAGACAAAAAATTGTGTTTAAAATTTCATGTAGTTCGTGAATTAATAAAGGACTATACGCATCACACGAAAATTGTACATGTATGATAAATTTATGGCAAGATAAGTTTATACTTTTGACATGTTTCGCCTTTATTAAAGCTTCCTCAAAGAATGAGATATGGAGAAAAATAGGATGAAACGGGGAAAAAATCTGTCGTTTGTTTTTTCATTGGCTCAAAAATGCCACAATGTTTGCTTTCCATTTTTTTTCTTTTCTCCATTCTCTGATAAAATTACAATAAAAGGAAAAACATGTTACATTTATAAACGTTTCCCATTAATTTCTCAAACTATCATTCAGTGGGATTCCAATTCATATTTGATCGATATTCAATCCCAATTTATATATATATATTGTGGATAGCGGATCGCATTGAGGAATCGGAGATCCAAGTTTGAATTTCAGTCTAATCAATTACATTCACTTACGTGCTAACACTCTTGGGAAAGGTATTAATCCTCTTCTCTCTCCAGCTATGAGTAAACAGCAGGTCAGACTGGGTTCTATAGCCTTGGATGGCAACTGGTCTAAGAGAAGAACAACTCTGAATTCAAAACCTGCGTTTTAGGATAGGCAATATTTATGGGTATCAAGTATACAGCATATGTAAATATAAGTGGACACTGAGGTCAATATTCATCGTCTGTTTCAATCTTAAACGCATTAAAAGATTTTAAGAGTTTAAGAATTAAACAGATTGTTGCTGATGTCTGTTGACCTCAATACCCACACACACACACACACACACACACACACACACACATATATATATATATATATATATATATATATATATATATATATTAGGATATTACAACAAAGACATGTAAGAATCGATACACAATTGCAATCATGTTTCCGTACATAATGATGCGTCTCCTCAGGCGATTGTAAATTTAATGTACTCTATTCGTTCTCATCGTATACTATTTACATTATTCGGACTATTGTCCTCATCTTTGTTGCCATATTTATCACCTGTTAATTCACCTCTCCAAGTTCTCCGCCGCCTTAACCAGGTATTGAACTCACACACTTTGGGTCCTGTCACTGGATCTAACTAACGCCTTTATCCACTGTGCCATGCGTCCACAAGAACACATGGCACAGTGGATAAAGGCACATTGAGCTATAATAGTCTACCCTAGTGAGCGAAATAAAGGGCTCAGTTCGATATCCCAACCACGGCCGGAGCGTACAACGGCCGAAACGTTGTGATAAATATGGCAACAAAGATTAGGACAATAGTCCAAATAATGTAAATGGTGTACATAATACCTCATCTCAGAAATATAGTCACACACACACACACACACACACACACACACACATATATATATATATATATATATATATATATGTTGATATTCTGGTGTTTATATACTATATAGACATGTTTATTTACACACTCATATGCTAATAGATATGAAGCTATAAAAATAACTGTCTGCACATTTCGACAGAGAGATTGATGAATATATAACTATCTTTTATTTAACGTAATAAGTACATAATCAAGATAGCTGACCGCTCATTTCCAACAATGACTACTAAGTTGGCTAATCCCTATTCCACATCCAGGTATATTTGTGCTTATTCAAAACCCACTGAAGTCAGCCGCGATTCTGCTTAGGGTCTGACAAAGAATGCATAATCTGGGGTGATCAACAGATTGGACAAGGTCAGTATGTTCAAATCCTCGGTCTCGCTGACTTGTGACTTCGTGTTAACACAATCATCGACAACTTCTGAACCGTTTCGTCTACTCAATTTCACACACAGTGCTTGAATCAACCCAGCTCTTCCTTTCAGGTAGATCAACACAAATCGACCAACCATGGTAAGATTCAAACTCTGTTCTCAATGTTCGAACCACACAACCGCTTGTCCGCTAATATATAAAAACCATTTTTTATGTTATAAAATATAAGAAATATTAACCACTGGTTAAAAAAAAAATATGTATCAGGAATACAATAATAGATTCACATTAAGTTTTCCCGTCACTGGATTTGGACAAAATGCCCAACACACGCCATATTTAACAAACGATTGCAAAACTTGCACACACACACACACACACACACACACACACACACACACACACACACACACACACATATATATATATATATATATATATATATATATTGTAAACTAGTGAAGGTTACTGAATAGAATAATCACACGAAGGTTGGTAATGAATGATAATACTTAGGACATGAACAACACATATAAGATTCGCCAGCAACGCGTAGAAGTTGTCAACTGCTAGAAGTGTTTCAAGTCAAGTCAATTCCACAAAGAATCTCCAACTGCAGGATATCTACTAACCGATCCACGCGGTCAGATTGACCACAAGGCCGAATTTAATGTGGGGCATCCGATTATGTATATAGATAGATAGATAGATAGATAGATAGATAGATAGATAGATAGATAGATAGATAGATCAATCATGGATCGGAATCCTGCAGAATGTTAGGATGAAACAAATAGGCAGCGTTGTTAAAAAATGTTCCGCGTTTATGAAAGCTTCATCAGATCTCATTCTTTGAGGCAGCTTAAAAAACAAGCGAAAAAATGTTATTTCCTATTTGTTCCTTATCTTATCATATACTGCATTTAAGCATAAAACAGACTGTATCCATTCTCCCGTCGGTTTCGACGTATGAGGATCTGCCAGCTTATTGATTCAGTTATGAAAGTTTGTGCGATAATCATGGCATTTAAGACCTGCTAGTGATTTACAAAGGAGACCACATATGGAGCAAGTGTGGGGATTTGAGATGAGATCATGTTAGATTGGCTGACCTTTTTAGATCGTGCTCTCTTCTTGAAGATGATTCAGATAAGCAGATTGAAAATTGTCAAGTTCACTAAAAACACATTGATCTCCATTCACCTGGTCAACTAAGCGCTCCAGAGGTATATTGACTGCTGACAATTGCTTTTCAGCTCGTCTTTGAGATGGGCGTCTACATTCCTGTAGCCCTGATCTAAACATTAGGATCTTGGGTATCTGCCTTGCTATTTACGCGTATCTGGAGAGAAAAAAATTCATACTTTCCCAAAGGAAATTAGCACGTTGAATGTAATGGATTCGACTTGAACTCAGCTCTCCGATTCTTTAATCGAGCCGCTATCCATTACTCCATATACGTGCCTCATATATATATATATATATATATATATATATATATATATATATATATATATATATATATATATATATATATATATATATATATATATATATATATATATATATATATATATATATATATATATATATATATATATATATATATATATATATATATATATATATATATATATATATATATATATATATATATATATATATATATATATATATATATATATATATATATATATATATATATATATATATATATATATAGGACACGGTATGCGTGTCGGTGGGGTGTGTGTGTGTATGTAACGAATTTGCAATTTTCGCTCAAAATGTACATGCTCAAGTGACTAAAAGGTCAAGAACTTTTTTCCCATCGATAGTGGAAATAATCGATTTTTCATGCTTCTACGGCAATTTTCATGTAGTTTGGCTATTTTCACTGGCCAGAGTGAGAGCCTATAGCTGGCTGTCACGAATAGGCAGGAATATTCTATTGGCCAGCGTGAGAGCCAACAGCTGGCAGAGACAAGAATGTTAACTAGCATAAAGAAAATCGATAGTTTGCTTAAACTCAACGTTGATTCTGATTCCGCAGAACTGTGTTGGGTGTGAAAAGTATTTGTTGTTAACATTCTTTTTCATTCGGTTTTTCCAGTTACGAGA